AACTTTCGTCTTGTTTCAGATTCACAGTTCAATTTGCACAAATTTCCTAATTGGCAGGAATTTCTTCCATAGCCTGAACCAGTCCCACTTTTACCCATGAGGGAAATTTGCCCAGATATGTGCAAATCAATCCCATAGCTGCTTGCTCTGTGAAGCTGTTTGGGTTTGCCAGGACTCCCATGACCCAGAATTAGGCATGTTTGCGATCACTGATCGCTTTGCGTGAAGGCAAATTGGGCTTGGGACAAGCAGTGAGATGGTTGTCCTGTGGATCCTGGCAAACTCGAATACTGCTTCTCTGCCCATCCCTTACAGAGCCCCTGCCCGACCAATATAATGCTCGCTTTTTTCTCCTCCTCTCTCGCAACCTCATGCCTACCAGGCTAGAAGTACCTTCAATGTAGGGCACACTATATGCATAGACCTTCAAGAAGGACAGACACCAACCTGATGCAACCAAAATTAGCACAGAGACCTTTCTTTTCTTAGCAGTGGGCACACAGAAAGGAATTAATTCTTCCTATACCCTGGGGAGCAGAGGAAGAGCACTCTCTAGCTGAGAATGTGAACCTCATGGATGTCACGGGGGCAGGGACTCCCAGTCCACAAGAGGCTTTCCGAAATTAGGTTCAGGTAATTGGGGGCATATCTCTGGGAAGTCACCACTGCAAGGCTGAGGATGAGACAAAGATTCTTGAGGCTGAGGTGATCCGGATCAGGTAAGTCTTTACTGCTTGGTTCCACTACGTGTATGGAATGTGCCCATCATGAAGGCAGCTGCACACAGGAGTGCCCCTATACACAGTATCCCCAAATATGCCCTCGGTGTACAGCAGAAAGCTTGAATTTAAGCCATCAGTTGTGCACATGCTTCAAGTTCCTATAGCCTAGTGGAGGGGTGGGTCCCTTGTGGCCTCCCAATGTTTGGTCTACAACTCCCAAACAGCCCTAGCCAACATAGCCAAGGGTGAAGGATGCTGGGCATTGGAGGCCAAAGTCTTTCTAGGCTTTATGGGGACTTCTGGCTACCAGCCTATACATCCTTTTGGCTCCAGCCACCACAGCCATATGCTGGCTGGGGCTGCCGGGAGTTGTAGGCCAATACATCTGAAGCTGCCCATCCCTTCTGTGAGCATTTGTGATTCTATCTCAGGCCCCCTGACCACGAGGCATTCACACCCCACCCAAAAAGAGCTGTCACTCAGCGGCAGAGTGCATGGTCCCAGGAAAGGTTCCAATACTCAGGACCACCAGAGGAAAAACCCATCTGAAATGAGGGGCAGGCTGGCAGAAGATAGATCAGGATCTTACCAGTAAATTTGCAGTAAATCCGCAAGGTTACTCTTGTTTGACAGTAAATGACATTTGCTAAGGAGAGAGCAAGGTAAAGAGGAGGGTCTGAGAGCTGAGTTCTGGTAATGAAAAGAGGTGGCGGGCCTTGGATGGCTGGCCAGGGGCTCAAAGACACCCTTGTCCCTTCATCTCAAGACCCTTTCGCACATGACAGCAGCAGTCCCCTGGCTTGCTTAACCCAGGCATGGCTGCCACTGCATGAAGTGACAAACTATGCACTCAAAGTTTTCCCTTTCACTTATCAGCCCAGGAATGCCCTCAATGCTTGGTTCTCCTATGACGTACAAACCCAGGAAATGCTGCTAGCCTTCCTAGGTTGTTAATAAAAATGGAAGCACAGTTCCTCACATAACCAATGCAGGCACCGCCACCGTTAAAGGAAAGCAAAGTCTAAATGTGCATTCCTTGCTTCTGGCTCTAAGTGGTTAAATTTGCATTTTTTGCTGCTGGCTCCAACTGGTGCATGTCCAGGGTTGTAGCAAAACAGAAAGAAGCTCTAAGAAGCCTGAAATATGTTCCTCTCTGGCAGAGAACTAGATGGATCAGCAGGCTATTGGCACTCTCCTCCTGGATCTCACAGTGATCTCTGGCCCATTTCATTCTTGTCAAGTCATACGCCTCTTACCTCAACCTACATCCAGAAGCATCGAGGGCATGACATGCGCATGGCCCCGCTCAGCAGGCGTCTCTTTTTTAATTTAGCCCCCACCCAAAATGCTGCAAGTGTCTTAATATGACCGACCTGTTAAGTTCCTCTTACATGCCATCAAGCTATCCTGAGATATTTATATAAAGGATGGCATTTAAAAGCTTTTAATAAATAAATAAAATAATCAATCAACCAACCAACTAACCAACAAAGGTAAGGTAAAACAGAATGTTTGGCCACTCTGCCCTACAGCATAGGAAGTTTTTTTTTTAAATTAGTTTTTATTTTAATGCTTAGCCATGAAAATAAGCTCACCTCAAAGTTATCAGGCAGCACAATTATTTGCTAGCCTGCTGGGAATCGGTAGAGGAGGAGAAAAGTTATTTTCATTCTAGACAACAGGGAGGAGGTATCCCTCCTCTAGCAGCCCGCTTAATTTCTATTTTGGGTAGAGTAGTTCACCCCAGTGCCTCCCGTCAGCTCACTCGCTTACATGCACCTTCTAGTCACCTATGGCGATCATGAAAGTACTTTCAGACGAAGCTTATTTTTTAAATGGCACTGCATGTCTACCCGTGTTATTTTAGAGAGCTTAGGGGCACTGTTCTCCCTATTCTCATGCTATCTCCCAATAACCCTGCAAAGTAGGGCAGACTGAGACAGACAATGACTGAGCCAAGGTCACTCTGTGAGTTTTGTAACTGAGCGAGGATTTGAATACAGGCCTTCCCTCCTCTCCCAGTCCAACTCTCTTAACCCCAAAGCAGAAGGAACACTTGGCCTTAGAGAAACTGTTCATCTCCCCGCTTCTGCCCATGTCCCATGCAATATGATCCGAAGAACAAGGCAGGAAGTCTTCCTGAAGTGAAACCTGTCCTTGGATGGAAGGCTTCCCAGACAGCCGTTGTGCACGTCACCTAGATTCTCTGGCAGAACACAAAATAAATTCCTAAAGCAAGGCGGGCAACAGAGTGCCCTACCCTCCCATTTTTTATATGTTAACAGCAAGGTTATGTGAGGGCAGCAGCTGGAATTGAGTCATAGTAAAGAGAGGGTCTCCTGCCGCTTCTACCTTCCTTTCCCCCAAATCCTTCTGAGTCACACTTGGGGCTGAAATACATCCTTCATAATTGAAGAGGGCGGGCGGCTGCCGGCTGATGCAACATGTCCATTCTGCAGAGGCATCCAGGAGAGCTTCTCAAACAGCCCACAGACCCAAATGGATGTCTCACCCATCTCCCAAAAGCAGCTAATATATGCATATTTGGAAAAAGCAGCTTTGCACATTTCCATGGTCCAATGGAAATGGGAAAAATTATTTGCCCCCCTCTGCTGACCACCTACCACCATTCAGTACTGCATCCAGGGTATTCCAAGCACAAATCCTGGGTCATCTGCTTGTCAGATATTGCTGATGAGGAGTTGCCTCCACAAGTTGTGGACTACAACTCCCATCTGCCCCAGTCAGCATGCTGGAGAGGATGGGAGCTGCAGTACAAGCATCTGATGCAGCAATGCCAAAAACAGAACCTGTAGCCTTTGGCATGCAGCCAATATTAAAAGATTCTGATCCCATCACTCCGTTGTATAGGAATTTGTCTTAACTCTCAGCGTTTCTAATCACAAACTGCCTGGGAAGCCTCACCATTTCCTCTCTTATATGCGCATACTCAGCTGACAGCTCCCAGGATGCTAACAGGATACCCACTGTCCTTTCCTAGAAGCAATTCAGCTTAGCTAAAGTTATGAGCCCACACAGTAGCTTTTACTACTTACAGATGGCATATTCATGGCATGAAAGAAAACAACAACAACACGCCCTCTTTTCCAGATTGCTAAAACTTCCTAGACAGGTCACCCAAAGACCAGTTGTTCTCGCCATCTGGACCATTTCTCTGCAAGCCTGCGGAAGTGCCAGCACCTCTCTCTGGCAGAGACACCAAACTGCCACAGGGCACGCTGCTCGGCTTGGCTCGAGGCAGACGTGTGGCCTGGGGGTGCAAAGAGCCCCCCAGACTCCCTGAAGTCACTCATTACTGCCCTGGGGGGCTTTCCTACCTCCCCAGGCCTGTTTCACACATAACACGACAGCAAACCTGGGTTTACTCCCCACAACCACTCTGCCAGGTCAGCTGGGCAGGGGAATCCTAAGCAGCCCGTGCTCACCCAGTACATTTCTTGGCCAGAGGACTTAGCCTCTCCAACCCACCCCTCCACATCTTGGCAGCCTGCAGATGTTTCAAGCAACAGCTCTCAGCATTCCTGACCACTGGCCATTCCAGCTGGGACTGGTGAGAGATGCAGTCCCAAACATCTGGAGGGTGGCACTGACGAGAAAGCAGCTGCAAGCGCTGACCCATTCGAGGATCTTTTGTCTTCTGGCTGTTCTGTGGCTACACGTGTCTGGCTACCTCTCATGACCCTCTGGGCAGCTCCTTGCTCGCTGGTCACGCAGGCTGGTGAGTCCTGCCCTGTCACTTTTCCCCGCACCTCCTGCTCCCCCACAATCAACCCCCGTTTTGTCCTCCCAACACCCGGAGCTCATCTCACTTCTGCTCCCCCACCAACACACACACACCGACGCCTCTCCGTTTCTTCTGACATTTATGATCTGGGAGGGAAGGAAGGAGCAAGGAAGGAGCCCGTCCCTATAATGGCAGAGAAACCTCCTCATGCCAGCTTCCCTCCTTCTCTGTCCTCAGCTCCAGCTCTCCGACCGACCCTCTGGATCGGTGCCCTGGAAGGGGATCCCCCTCCCGCATGCCGCCCCCCACCACCCCAGATCCCCCAAGAGCTGGTCTCCCAAGCTCTCTGCCTTGTCCTCCATTTTGTTCTCCCCCTCTCTGTGCTGCCGCCGCTGCAGGACGGCGGATCATGGCTGGTTCCCTCTCCCCTCCCCCACCCTTCGTAGGCCCGAGCCGAACGAGAGCGATCCATCCTCGAAAAAACAGGCGAGAAGGAGCGGGCGTGGGGGGCAGGCTGGGTCCTCTCCTCTTACCTGGAAGCAGCGGAGGCGGTGGCTGTGTCCAGGCCGGGATCCAGCATGTCCATGGGGGGAGAGGGAAGGGGGGAAAGGGGGGGAGGGAGGGAGAGGGAAGGGGGGAAAGACCCCGCAGCACCAGGGGGAAAGGGGTGGGGAGGCAGGAGAAGGAGGGGGTGAGTTTTTAAATCTCACGCCGGATGGAGGTAGAGGGGACGCGGAGGAGACACGGGAGCCGAGGCGCTGATCACGGGGACAAACACTCGGGTCATGTGAGGAGGAAAGAGCGAGCGAGCAAGCGAGCGAGCGATTCTCTCCCTCCCCTCCTTCCCCAGCTGGGAGCCCGGGACACGTGAGGGGGAAGAGACGGGAGAGCGTAGGAGCCGGAGGAGGAGGATGCGGATGCGAGGGAGAGAACGCGAGGAGGAAGGGGGCACACAAAACGGGGGCCCTGCTCCGGCGGCTGCGGATGGAACGTTGCGAGCTTCGATCGAACGTCGAGCGGCGGCGGATGGAACGTTGCGAGAATCCGGAGCGAGAGGGGGAGGGGATAGAACGTTGCGACGATCCGGGGCGGGGGAAGAGAGGGAGGGGGAGGGGAGAATGGAACGTTGCAAACAAGCGGCGGCCGCCGCCGCCGCCGCCACCGCGGGTGGAACGTTGCGAGCTTCGATCGAACGTCGCGACTGCGGGGGCGGAGAAAGCGCGGAGTGTGGGCTTGCTTTTTGCACTGCGTTGTTTCGGAACGTTGCAGCGGCGCGGACAAAGGGGAGAAAAAAGGGAGCGATGCCGATCTCGCCCGGAAAATCTTGTGTGGTGGGGCAGCGTATGCGCGATCGACTACTCAAGATTCTTTCGTCCCTGCACCTTTTTTTTTCCCTTTTGCGGTCGCCAGAGCGCATGCGTATACTGGGGGTGTTGACAGTTCAAATCCTCCACCCCGATTAATGTCCGGGAGGAGACCGAGCCTGTACTCGAGCAAATAGTTAAACCTCGCTTTCTTTTTGGTGGGGAAGGTTGTAAAATCTTTTGGCGTGTTATTTTCGGTGTCGGAGTAAACAAGCGCAGGCTCTGAGTTTTGTCTACCCCGCTCCCCCTTTTCTGAGTTCTGCTGAGCATGCTCAGTGCGAAGATCGTCGCCGGAGCTTACCAGCCTGTGCGCGCTTGCCTGGGAGTAAGCCCGGTTGAGCACGGCGGGGGACTTCCTGGAAAACGTGCCTAGGCCTGTGCTGTAGCAGCGCGACTCAGTGCTGCGAATGCGCCGAGTCGTGGGAGAAAGTCAGTCTTCTTTCGTTCCCAGAATCTGTTAATGAAGTAGTGTCAGCTCAGTGAAGTCGCGTCTAGACCTGCTTTCCGCCAGCTGTTCCCACGTTACGTGATGCATCGAACAAAACTGGCTTTGTCTGGACAGTACGAAAATCCATTTCGCTGGATGACCTCGTACGCTAGTATAAGAGAACTCACAGTGTTCGTAACCATTGGCTGTGCTGGCTGGAGCCGATGGGAATTGAAGTCCAAAACGGCTGGAGAGTACAAGATGGGGGAAGACAGCATGTGGAGAGAGACCCCCATCTCCGCGCGTTGCGGTTCCAAATGGTACAAATCTCTCTCCAGCTGTCGTCCACTACAGCTGCTGTCATTGGCCAGCATTGATGGCTGGGGATGATGAAAGCAACCCATCTAGAGGGCGCCAGCTTGGAGAAGGTTGCCCTATTGTTTACTTTGACGTCCTGCGCACGTTCAGGAGCAGCAACGGCTCTGCTTGCTCGGGCTTAGACTCCCCCGTTCCTAAAGCAAAATTCTGCGTGGAGGAATCTGTTTGGGGGGGTGGGGGGTCAGGAGAGGGATGGGTATTGTGAATCCATATATTGCAATTATGTGAGGCTATATTCCGAATTTCCACAAAACCATAAAAATGAGGCTAAAATATGAGAAAGGGCATTGCTGGTGGCAAGTTGCTTTTAAGGGCTGTTCGCTTCGGCCTATAAACTGGGCAGCTGATCCTGCTCCAAAAACAAACACTAGAGTGTTCACCGCAAGCCAGCGAGGAGACCTGCAGACCAGTCCTTTGCGTATTTACTTGGACATTGACCCCACAGGATTCAGTGAGACTTAGTGCACCATTAATTTCTGCTATAACCTTCCCTCCAAAAAGAGTACGAGGCTCTGCTAGGCGATCCTTTGGCTTGACTCACATATAATAGGGTGGATTTAATTTAGGGTGGGAGAAACAGTCCAAGACAACCAGGCAGGCAAGTAAAGAATCATTTCTTAAGCAGCAGCCACCCAGGAAAGGTCATGGAATGGGACTGGCTTGCTTCTAAAAATTTCTGGGGCAGAGCTGGCTTTCTGTTGGAGTTGTGGTTTGCTCTGCCTGTAGCCAGGTAGGAACAAGGTCTGACATCAGTGAGGAGGAAAAGCCTTTGATTCAACAGATTTGGCCTCAACATCCAGCACGATGCAGCAAAGATCAGGGCTCCAACGCCCCCCCTGCTGCTGGCATCAGCTTTTTTAGGAGCCTTGTGCTTCAAAAAGGTGAGGCAAAGGCAGTCATTGCTGTCTTGATTTCCCCAGAAGGCCCTGGACCCTGACATATGGCCCAGAAGCATTCTGGGAAATCAAGATGGCAGTGGCTGCAATAGTGTCTATCTACTGTTTCTCTTTTTCTCATTACTGTCCATGGCTTTAAATCCAGTGCCAGCCCTGGTGCATAAAATGGGTAGCACCCATCACACGGAACAGTTGCAATGAAAAGTGGCCCAAGGTAGGTATTATGCTCACCTGATAGTATTCGTGGTTGGGTCCTGATTTAGGCATACCTATCAGCTGGAGATAAACATTCACACTGGCCATATCTGCAGCCATTATGTGCAAACTTTCTTGACGTAAGAGGCAAAGATGGGATATTGTATGCGCTTACTATGGGTAAGTCCTGTTGAGCACAGTTTCCAGAGATTGTGGGACCACATTTCCCATCATCTGCAGTCATAATGGCCATTGGTAGGGGGCAGTAGGAGGCCAATAATCCTGAATTGTTTTTAACATTCCTAGAGGTATAAAACACATCTAATCGCAGTCAGGCAGATATGCTGGAGCAAATTAAAATCCAGAATTTCCAGGTTGTAGCTACCTTGGTATGCTTAGATTCATATGAGCACTGCATTGGAGAAGGCTGGGTTACAGATGAATCAAGTGTGCCTTTTCCTGAACATTGGTCTGATCTCAGGAGCAGTGGATTTCAAAAGCTGACTACCTTGGTGAAGCCAAGAAGGAATCAGTAGTTCTTCTGAATAGTTTTCTTGTTTGCTTACAGTGTCAGATTGTCATGTATATTTTTAGCATCTATACGTCAGATTTTTAAAAAAGCTTATTAAAAATACTGCCTTACTGCATTGTATAATTGTTTCAATAGTATATTAACAAAAATGCTCATTCTTCATAACACCCTTGACAAAGTGTACTTCAAAACATGGTGAGCCATAAAACATTATTTGCTAGACCCTTGGGGCACCCTCCCCACACACACACTGATGGAGCTAGAGTAGGCAATTGCAGGAAGTTTTGTCCCCAGGGACAAGTCCCCCCCACCCACACTCACAGAATCGTGGAATAGTAGAGTTGGAAGGGGCCATGCAGGCCATCGAGTCCAACCCGCTGCTGTTGCAGGACACCACGTTACACCATCCCACTCAGATGGCTGCCCAGTTTCTCCTTGAATGTCTCCAGTGTGGGAGAGTCCACCACCTCTCCAGGCAGCTGGTCCCACTGCTGTATTGCTCCAGCAGTGAGGAAGCTTTTCCTGATGCCCAGCCTGAATCTGGGCTGTTGCAACTTGAATTGATTATTCCGTGTCCTCCACTCTGGCATCAGCAAGAAGAGATCTTGACCTTCCTCTTTGTGGCAGCCTTTGAGGTACTTACAGAGGGATACCATGTCCCCACTCAGCCTTCTCTTCTCAAGGCTGAACATCCCAAGTTCTCTCAGTCTCTCATAGGGCAGGTTTTCCAAACCCTGGTTCATTTTGTTGCCCTCCTCTGGACCCTTTCTAGCACTGTAGCTCTGAAAAGCATCTCAAATGAACCTCAGAGCTCTTTAGAGCTGTACTTTAGTGTGGTTGTGCTGTTTTGATATTCATCCAAAACTCAGCATTTTCTAATACATAAGTGTATTTGTTGCTTATGATTGAACACCTCGGGACCACCAGAGGGAAAGTGCTGCTCTTATGAGGGTAGAAACCATGTTTGGATGCAGTGGGAGCATTGGGTAGCCATACCAGTCATAGCTGTTTCCAGAAACAGCTGATGAACTCTGCATTCAGAGGTTGTTTCTCTGACATTGGTTCTTTCTGTCTTCATAGATTATGCAACCCAAAGTTAACCCAAGAACAAGCCAAGGGTTAACTGGGTTTAACCTAGGTTCAGATGTCATAGAGGCAACTTACAAGTGCCATTTGTAGGTTATTTCTGAAATGGAAAGTAGCTCATGTGCCCTGTGCATCTTTGCAGTTTGTGGGTTAGTTAACCCAGGAGTTGCCTGAGAACATCGGTGTTCTGTCCAAACAACTCCAGTGAGTCAGCCACAAAGCTGACTGGGTGACAGAATCATTCACTATAGGGAGTAGCCACATGGGTAACACTGGAGCGCTTCCCTCCCTGGAAGGCCACATTCCCAGCTGGTTAACCACAGAAACAACACAAGGCTCACATCCTCCATCCCTCCCTGTGAAAAAGTTTGAGAAATGAAACCAGGAGCAGGTTGCGTGTGACTTGCTCCCCTCTGGAACTGAATCACATTTCCGGGTGTCTCCTGTGTTCCAAGGCAACCTTGTTCTTTCTCTGCCAAGCACATGTTCTTTCTCCTTTCTGAGCCTCTATCCTATACCAGCAAGACCCCACAGTACTGGTAAAGTATCCCATAGTAAAACATGCAAAGTAAACCCAGCCTGCTTAAGGCTTAAAAGTTCATAAACCAGCACCTTGAATTGGGCCCAGGAGCCCATTGGCAGGTTGTGTGGCTATATCAAGACAAGCAATATGGGTGTTGTCATTGTTTTTACTGTTATTGGTCCATTGTAGTCAACAAGCACGTCACAAACTCCTGAACCAGTTGCAGCTTTCCTAGCCATCTCCAGCGGCAGTCCCTAACCCAGAGTACACGCAGCGGTTGAACCTGCAAATTCATTTATAAATAAAGTGTGAAGCTGACAGTTGGGTAACATTAGCCCCACCTTGTTGAACTCAACAACAAAGCCTCAAGGGACTGGAGACAGATTGGATGATGATGATGATGATGATGATGACGACGATGATTCTTTCCATGTTACTGAAGCACAGACTTGGTTTCAGAAATGGACACCTGTAGAAACGTGCAGGGTTGCAATTTCTAACCTTCATTATATGCTGCCAGTGTCGGGAAGAGGTGGGAGGGAGAACTGGGTGCCACAGCATAATGGAAAAGTCCTACAAAGCATCATCAGCCACAGTCTTACAGAAAGTGCCCT